AGTGCGAAGATATTTGCTTCTCTGTTGCTTACCATACAGCTGGTATCTCTTACAGCACAGTTCTGCATAATATTTCCAGGTCAAGGACGTGCTCTAAATGAGACATTTCTTTCACACCTCAGAGCTTCGTATAAATGGAGCACCATCTCTTTCTGCTTGCTTGGCCATACGTTTTGGAAAGCAAAGAGTCACACCTAGAAATACGAGACATTATTCTTTTAGAACTTCCTGAAGCGTGTATGATGCTTGCGGCGATGTAATGAGAAGTCGCGGTGAACACAACAAATTTCCTGCAGGACGGAGTAAAGCGGATCCAGCACAAGAGCAATTTGTCGTTATGCACCATAAATATCGTAATAATAAACACTCGCAATTTTTGACAAGTATTAGGAAGAGTACACTGCAATGTAACGCTGAATATGCTCCTGTCATATCTTCATCTTCTTCATCTTCTTCATCATCTTCATCTTCTTCATCATCTTCATCTTCATCTTCATCTTCATCTTCTTCTTCTTGGATTAGACCCCTCTAACCTGCAGCTATTCACAATGACTTACGGAAAAATGCATCGTACAGATATCTGATACGAACTCTTGGATGTGGATTCGATTCACCATGCATCTATACATGATAACATAAAGAAAACACGGAAAATGTGGAATTACATCCATTCCCCCTGCGGGATTCGTGCACAAAATCAGAATTTTTTGCTGGGCCAAGACTATACGAGCGGCCTCTGCAATGGCTAATTCTGTATGGGCTCAGAGCAGTAAGGGCGGAGACAGTGCTCACAACTTCTGTATATGGCCGTGGAAGGGATCGTTGGGTTTTGGTACCTGTCCATAGTCCTATATTCGAATAAACATAACGTTACGGAAAATGTAACTGCTTCCTTCCTCAGGTTAGAGGTGGGATCCACTTACTCTCTTTGGTGAGCTACAAACAGCTAAGCTCAGTCACTGGGAAGAAGGACAATGGGTAAAGTCCAAACACCCAGTATCCCGAGTGTTATATAACTTCGTCAGAACCCTTTAGAATCAAAATGTAAGCGACCAACAAGGAGTATTGCTTCTAGGCTCTTCCCATTCTGTGCCGATGACTTCTGAATCCCCCCCCCCCC